AAATCAGATGTTAGAAGTGTAGGGGAGCTAAATTACATATTCGAACTGTGTGAATTAGGGAACAATATCAGATGCTAGAATTGGAAAGCAAGCCAAATCAAATCTTAAATTTTTAAGATTCCTGATTCTATAGGTTATCTGATCTGTTTTTTTTTTTTTGTTTTTTTTTCTTTTAATCTGGCCCTTCGTGTGTCCCTACGCTTATTTAATGTTGTGTTCATCCAAGTAAGAAACATGGCCAATAAATTACAATTCCATTGATCTTAAACGCTATAATTTAGTCAAAAAAATCCCACATTTCTTGACAATGACTGATATTCTAGAAAATAATTGAACAAAATGGAAATTAATACATGAACTTTGGACAGATTACTTATAATTTAAGAGATATACATCGTCTAATTCTGAAATTGGAAAATATAAATAGACAGACCTTGTCAATTGAATTTAGCAAAATTTGTATATATATATATATATATATATATATATATATATATATATATATATATATATATATATATGTGTGTGTGTGTGTGTGTGTGTGTGTGTCTGTGTGTTTGTTTAGGCAGCAATCCTTTCATGGATATTTCATTGAATAAGACAGACAAGGTGCTTTTATTTAGTTTTTTATACAATTTCTCATGCGATCTAATAATTTTTACTTTTCAGATGACAAATAACATAAAAACTGTCCGAATATTCTTTTTTTCCGAGCGCTTTTGGCTATACATTTAGCCATTTTCAAGGATTAAATATTTTAACTTTCAAAGAAGAAATAGAAATATTTAACAGTTAAAATATTTAAAATATTTAATCTTTGAAAATGGCTAAATGTATTCAATGAAACGTCCATATATATATATATATATATATATATATATATATATATATATATATATAGTTCGTACCTGATGAGTTGGTCAAACCACGAAGCTATATTATACTTCGAACCTAGGTATATGTATATTTATTAATATATACTTCTTAGCTCTGTCTGACCAATTGAGCTCTGTTTTGTTAACATCTAATATTAAATTAAGTAAATATTTATTTGCTTACCTGTGTTTGCACGTTAACGCACATATAGACAATAGCTAATATCTAATAATTTGGTTTATATCCACATTTATACCTATATATATTTGTGTGTGTGTTTGTATATCTGATAAAAGCCTACTTTTATGATATGTACTTCCACTAATTCGCTGAAAAAGACTTTACCATGATGAAAAAATGTCTTAAACTTGATAAAAACAAAGCTTTTGCATCAAAATGTTTATGTTATCACTATGAGGAAAGACCCAATTGTTTTTTTTTTATTATTTACTTAAATTTTTTATCTTTTTTATCAAGGTGAAAAACATTGATTTGGCCATTCTTGCAAAAATCAAATAATTGTTAAATTTTAATGAAACTTTCAGGATTTATTCACAAATTAATTAAATTGTTTCAGAAATTCCTTTTTCTTAATCAGACACTCGGACAATTTTGCTGTTATACCATATATATATATATATATATATATATATATATATATATATATATATATATATATATATATATATAAAAGAGAGAGATTACAGAGAATGAGAGTAAGAGTAAAGAGGAGTGTTTGGGAAAAGGATAAAAGAAAGACAGGGATCAATGTCAAGGCATCAGAAGATGTCGATTGACATTACATTTGAATATTTTTGAAGATTCTAGCTATCAGGGCAGAATGTAAGAGAAAGGGAGTTCCGCTGACGGGAGGTTCGAAAGAAGAAGCTCTTGGAGTAGAAGAGATGGCTGCATTTAGTCGTTTCGACAGTGAAAGGTTGGGACTGTGATGCCAACCTAGTAGCACACTTAAATTCATGAAGTTTGGGAACTAGTGAAAGTAGCTCGTGGGAACAGTTGCCATGAATTACTTTGTAATATATATATATATATATATATATATATATATATATATATATATATATATATGTATGTGTGTGTGTGTGTGTGTGTAGAACTTATCCGTCGATAAAAGAAACTAGTATTTATGTCTGAAAGACTCGCGCGCGCGCACACACACATATACACATACACATACACACGAATATACATACATACATACATATATATAGTTTGTTCGGAAAATGATGCACGATTTTTAGAATAAATCTTTTGTGTTCTAATATATTATAATAATTGCACAAAAATATATTACTCATTCCTAATGAATAAAGTCTCCTTTTTTTAAATTTTATATCAGTCTGCTTCAGGATTTAACTTCAAGCATTATACCTCCTCTCATCTTGAACATGGAACATGAAAGGATGCGTTTATTTCTTTTTCATGAGTTCAATTGCTGCCAACGTATGAGATGAAGGATCCACTTGTGATTGGACAGTACGTTTCTGGTTTCTGAAATTCGGCAGTGGGGATACGAGACTTGCTGATGCAGATAGTATAGGACGTCCATCTGCAACGTTCAATCAACATCTGAAATTTCTCGTCGAAAACAAAAAATACATTAAAGTGGAGAGAAAATGGGTGTCGCTATCGGACCATCTCAAGAGAATTGGCAAGGTGAAGAAACTCGATAAACGGCTTCCACATGAAGTCAATCAATGTAAAAGTAATCGATGTTTTGAAATGTATTCGATGTTGCATCTGAGAAATTCGAACGATTCATTTCTCGATCGAATAGGGACTTGTGATACGAAATGGATCTTTTATGTCAATCCTAAACGATCCGCTTAATGGCTTGATCATGCCGAAGCACAAAAACAGCTTCCAAAACCGAAATTGCACTAAAAGAAGATTATGTTGATTGTCTGGTGGTCCACCATTGACATTATTCATTACAGTTTTCTGGAATCTAACCAGAGCATCACTGTCGAAGTTTACTGCTGACAACTGGATACATATTCAGTTAAGCAAAATGTGACCGGTATTGGCTAATCAACGAGGTCCAATTCTGCAGGCAATGCTCGACTGCTACCCTCAACACTCCTTCAGTCGCTAACTCCGCTAATCGATTTTACATGTCATCCGGTTTTCTTTCCTCTCTTCAGTTGTGACCGGTGTTTCCTCTCAGTTGGTTCAGCTTTCTCAAAATCTAACGATATTTGGGTTGACGGCAATACCTAGTGGTGTATCAAAGTATACGTTGTGTACCGGAGATAAGAAATGTGCAATTCTTGACTGCAGCCGTGATAAGTTGATTCTTTGCGTTCGGAACAACACCAGGAATTAAGGTTGGAATAAATTGGGACAACTCTCTTGATAAAACTAAAAACAGGTTTATTTAATATTAAAACTGGAGAATAAAATGTCTCTATTATCTACTGAAGGACTACTTTCAATCTCGCTGGAGAGTGGACTGCGAAATTTAGATTAATTGCTAGATTCAAGACCTGTCACTTAATTCTGCTGTCGTGTGTGTGTTTCTGTGTTCACTTCGATTACAGAAATGTGAGTGTGTCTTTGTGTCTGCGATGGAGTTCAGAGCAAATCTCTGACGACTCTCTGGTTGAGCCCCGTGGGTTTCTTTTATATAGATAACCTCCATAAAATTTGACACGGATATATCGAATTTTTCCATCTTCGATCGTCGTAAGTTAGGAAATATTTTCATAAACAACACGGCATTCTTTGTCAATCTTTTTCTGTAAGAATGTAAACGTTTTGGGTGAATAGTATTAATGTAAACAAACCCAAACTTGGAGTAACAGAATTTGTTTTCATAAACCATATTGCTTTCTTTGTCAAAGAAATTAGGTCATACGTTTTCTTAAGATATAGGTGTTTTCGGCGAATCGTATTAATATAAACAAACCCGGATTTGGGGCCTTAGGGCCAAGAAATTCGGACAAAACATTAGTCATGTCTTCTTATTATTGGAAGGAAGTAGATAGGTTGGTGGAAATTTGTATTTGTTCAATTTTACTGAATACTGACTTCTTGATTCGATCTTTTTGAAAACATTATTAAATTCATTTTATTGTTTAAAACATAATTATTATCTAGTTTCTTTTCTCCCAAGCATTCAGTTCATTCTGATGAGAAGGTTTATAATTATTATTCAATTAGTGGTTCCTCCAGATCATCATCCAGCGATTTGCAATTAAGCGTTGAGCGGGGCCAATGTCCTGTTACACTGTTTGCCAGTATGACACTGTAGAAGCCCACCGAATTTGGATAAGAGGCCCTGTCACACCTGATCTCTTACCCATTGACTATCACTTTTGAAGCATCTTGAAAAAAATTTCAAACCAAATTGTTGCAAAGATTCAGATGCTGTATTCAAAGACTTCTTGGCATCAGACCTTTAGAAGTTCATCGTGAAGGCATAAATAACCTTGTAAATCGATGACAGAAATGTATAGATGTCTAGAGTTCTTATTTTTGAGAGCTTTAAACATTGTTTAAGTACATTAGTTCAGGAATAAATGTTGATTCTAAAACTGAACATTACTTTCCGAACAAATATCTGAAGAGAAATTTGAAATCTTTATTACAACGTTTCGGCCGTTGTACGCTCCGGCCTTCTTCAGGTGGTTGTCGGCCGAAACGTTGTAATAAAGATGAGGACAATAGTCCGAATAATGTAAATAATGTACGTAATACCTCATCTCAGAAATATAGACAGACTCAGAAATTTGAAAGTGTTATGTTCATATCAATCTTGTTTTCAAGTAACTCAATCTAAGTAGATTAAAATTCTTCCATCGGTCAATATTAAAAACTGGAGGATGAAAATGAATTCAGTTTTTAATAACTGCCAATCAAATTAAATAGGATTGTTATCTCTTTTCAATATCAGAGAGAACGTTAGGAGAATGTTAATGAAAACAAAATATAAGTTTTTGACAAACATGTTTTTCGGAGTTACACTTCTACTATTGACAATTTTTAAATTGGTACGATTACTCAACTTGCCAGATATAAAATGGATTTCCCTTCATCCGTTTAGCAGGGTGGAAAATTTACCCGACTTGAATGTTTAAAATTTCCCAAAATTAACTATGGGATCAGCGCAGCGGAACGCCACCTAACACGCTCGTAGGAGGATTAAGGATAGAAAGGGTGATAGTGCGAGAGAGGAAAGAAGAAGAAGAAGAAGAAGAAGAAGAAGAAAGGACTGTGATGAAAATACAATGAAATAAATCAGATGGTAAATTAAAAAAAAGAGATGGGTAAGAATAAATAGAAAATAGAGAAAAAACAATAAACAAAATCGAATAAAAAAGAAAATTTATGATAGCAAAAAGAAAAAAAAAAGAAAGAGGAAAAAGAAAGGCAGGAAATTGAAGCATAAAAGAAAAAAATGAACAAGTGAAGAAAAAGAATCTAAGAAAACGGTACCTTATAAGAAAGAAAGAAACTGTAAGAGGAAGAAAAGAGGAGCTGAACTAGACAGGTAAAAGAAGGCAGGTAAGATTCGAGATGCGAATTTGAGCGTACAATGAGAGTCGCAGCTGCAATTTTTCGTACAATAAGTAAGCGAGAATTGAAATCCGAAGCCCGACCGACGAACGAAACGTCGTGAATGGAACGCCTTTGTCTTGCCAGTCGATATAAACAAACAAGCTAACACAACTGATAATTAAATTTCTTCACTTACCTGTCAACCTGTTTGTCCAGGTGGGCAACGTCTCTACCATTATTCAAATACTTTATCCATTTTTCATCAGTCGCTGTGTTTTTATTTACTTCGCTCATATATATATATATATATATATATATATATATATATGAGCTTTGTTCCTGTTAAAAATGAGAGAATTACGGATGTATGGATCGTTACTTTTGCCAAAGATCAAAGTTTCATTGCTTGGGCCAGTGTAGTATAAATGCGATCTGCCTAGGATGTATTAAATGTCAACAGTACAAGGCTGAAGAGCCACTCAAAGTAGATGGTTACTGAATGAAGTGTGTCATATGTGAACCTGATGAACTGAAAGGAAGTGGGTATCAAGAGGATAACGAATTACTCTTGACTTAATGTGGTTAAGTTTTTAGCATTCAGGGAAGCATCGACGTCGGTGTCTGTTAGACAAAATTGCAGTTTTGGGGGCACAAACTAAAAAGCTACAACATCATCCTTCCAATAAAAAGAAAATGAAAGTTATTCGATTCAGTGGTCTAGCTGAAATTGGTGGGATTATAATACGGATCAACAAAGATCAGTGTAGAATATGTAGTCGAAAAATATATATTGATCCTTGAGTTGATATATATATATATATATATATATATATATATATATATATATAAAAATTAATTGATTTAAAATATGTTTTTTTTCCGCTACACAGTTCTAACCATGTTTCAAAAATGGAAGCTAAAAGCTTAGAATTTAATTTTGTAATTAAATTAAAGACATTAGTTCCATTTCATCCTCAAGCGAATTTTGGAGTAGCTTTTAAAAATTACTGGGTTTAAAAGACACAGCTAATATTATAATTCATGTTTCCAAGGTTACAGATAAAACCACTTTTACTAGACTAGGGGTGTCTGCGCTTATGTCTATATTTAGATGTATCAGTTATTTGCTACGGTTCGGAGGGGGTAGGGTTGTATTTTTCAATGAAATCTAACACCCGTTAAATGCATGTCGTTTAGATTTTTTTTTAAATGGAACTAATGTCTTTAATTTAATTACAAAATTAAATTCTAAGCTTTTAGCCTCCATTTTTGAAACATGGTTAGAACTGTGTATCGGAACAAACATATTTTAAATCAATTAATTTATAATATTAATGGTCTGTAAATTTACATTGAGCACTATTTTGTAAAAATAAAAATATCCATAAGAACACCGGATTATAAAATCTTACTGTTCTTTCTTTATATATATATATATATATATATATATATATATATATATATATGAAAATTTCTCCGATTTAACCAGTAGAGAAGACAATATTTATGAATATGAATCGTATTTTACTTTTGATAGAGTCCACATTGGACGAAACGCGTCAACAATTACCAGTTTTCCTATTGTCATTTTTATTCATATATATATATATATATATATATATATATATATATATATATATATATATATATATATAAAGAAAGAGACAACCTTAAAAAGTTCCATGATTATAATTTATTTCCCAGAAAATAGATATTTTATGGTTCATCAGGTTACATCTCTAGAGATGTGACCTGATGAACCAGGAAAAATATTTTTTCTGGGGAAATAAATTATAGTCATGGAACCTTAAGGTTGTCCCTTCTTAATTATTTAATTAATATTTGCTCTGTTGTTACATTGAGCTCTCTGGATTACATCCTTTTTGGAATTATCCACATGGATTAGCAAACCCACACACAAACACACACATATATATATAGCCAGAAAATCTTCATTCAAACATGTTTCATTCAATTATATAGACATATTGTGTCTACTTATTTTTATACTGACCTTTCCAGTTGTCTAATAAGTTTCTTGATGTTATGATGCCGTAGTTTTTTTTAACCCAAGTACTTTCCACTGTTTCTACATTTTACATCTCAACCAATTTTCGATCAGCTCCCTTATATTGAAACGATTGTTTTTTTGTTTTGTTTTTTTTTTTTAAAAACAATTACAACGGTTAAATCTAAAAATTTAAAATCATTATAACGGAGCGCGTTATGTCTATATTTAGATGTATCAGTTATTTGCTACGGTTCGGAGGGGGTAGGGTTGTATTTTTCAATGAAATCTAACACCCGTTAAATGCATGTCGTTTAGATTTTTTTAGATAAAAATCATTATCACAACGGAATGCAGATTTTATCGCTGCTGCAATAATTTTCTCTTTGTAATTTACACTTGAAGATGATCTCAGAAGAAGGTCGAAAGTACTTTGAATAAAAAAAAATAACTATGGCGCCTTCCTTGGTGAATGTCATCTTAACATCAAGGAACTGATTAGACAATTGGAAAGGATAAGTATAAACATAGGTATACACAATATGTCTATATTATTCAATAATATATATATATATATATATATATATATATATATATATATATATATATATGTGTGTGTGTGTGTGTGTGTGTGTGTGTGTGTATATGTATGTGTGTGTATGTATGTGTTTATATATGTATATATATGTGTATATATATGTATATGTGTATGTGTGTGTATGTATATGTATATATATATGTGTGTGTTTGTGTGTGTGTGCGTGTGAATGTGTCTGTGTATGTATATATGTAGGTGTAATTATTTGTATGTTATAGACGCGGTACTTATTAGAAAGCGCTCAGTATCAGAGATAGAGCTTACATGTTGAACCATATGTATGTATATGTGTATATGTATATATATGTATGTGTGTGTATGTGTATATTTGTGTGGATATGTGGATATATTTATATATGTGTGTACATGGGTATATGTATGTGTGTATGTGGGTACACGCCTATGTGTATGTATATAGGTGTATATGTTATTGTGTATGCGTGTATTAGCATGTGTTTTTGAACATAAAAATATAGATCCTTGCTAGATTAGATAATCGTTATATTTATTTTTTATATGTTTATATTTCCTTTGTAATCTGTAGTCGATATTAAATTTGTCAAATTTTCTTAATTACACAGCGGCCCTTTCAGTAAATGTCCTTCAATTTTACTTTCCTTCGCCCCATCTCTCTCCCCCACCTCATCTTTCCCTCCCTCTTATTCTGATCTTCAACATTAGATCGTCTATGGTGTGTGTATGTCACCACGAAATGTATCTTTATGCATTAGACATCCGACAACATTCATATTTCTCTTACTTAAACCCCTTCCACTCACCTCTCCTAAAATTCTCTCTGTTAAGGTTAAATCTCCCTCCTTCTCTAGTCTGTTACCCCCCCTCTTTAACTCTAACATTCGCCCCACATCCTCATACTTACACTCTCTCTAAATTCTGTTTTTATTTCCGGAGTTGTTTTTTTCTGTTTTCTTTTTGAATTTGTAGGTCTGATGAATTGGATCGTATTTACAATTCCAATGGAATAAATTATGACCATGGAATATCAGTGTTTAAGCCTTTTTTTATTATATCCTTACTCTGTCCTGGACATTGAATTCTACCTGGATTCTATCCTCTTGGAATTTTTATTAAAAAAGTATACATGTATGTGCATGCACCTATGTATATACATTTATATATTTTGCATATGTATGTGTATATTTACCACTAATATTATCTATCTATCTATCTATCTAGTTGGATTGATGTGAGTTCGTGGCCCTGGGTTTCACGCTATTTGCGATCGTCAGACAAACTGATCAATTTCCATATCTATATATGGTTGCGTATATCGGTCTATATCGGTGGATCCTTTGTAAATCACTAGCGGGTCTTAAATGCCACTTAAGATTATCGCACAAACTTTCATAACTGAATCAATAAGCTGTCAGATCCTCATACGCCGAAACCAACGGGGGGAGAGTCCATTATATATATATATATACCCAAAATTTGGAGATAACCCTTCTTGGTTCAACAGAAATCTTTTTACTTCAATACCACACACACAAATTTTTTTACTTCCCCCAATTTAAACCTTCACAGCTCGGGTATGCCATGCTACTATGACTGAGTATAACAACACCAATTTTCGACGTGTACCAAACATAAGACAGACAGGTATTTACCAAGAAGTGCCATTTGGTGGAACAGATTTCCATATGGGTGCATACTGCATGAACTTACCAAAATTCTTGACTCAGATTAGATATTCTACATGTGTTGTAATTATTTCATACACATTTCAAGCAATTTATACGCAGTTTAAAATACCATTTCCCGTAGTGAAATAGAAATTGTTTAAAACGAGTCGCTTCTTTTACTATACAAATTCTTTAAGAGAGAATAAATTATTAAATAATTACAATGATGTCTATATTTCTTCAAGGACACATGGCAGTGTGTATAAAGGCATTGGTTAGATCCAGTGACAGGACCCAAAGAGTACGATTTCAATAGGGTAGGTCGATTTTAAAACCGTAAAAAGAATAACGTTGCAAAATAACCTCAAAAATTACCACAAAAAATATTTTTCTTCAAAACTTCGTATTTATTTGAGCAATCGAACTTAAAGACAAAATAAATTGCGATTTTTCTGATCATATCGGTGTCACCGGAAACATGTGTAGGTTAAATTAAAACCGAGTCTTAACGAAAAGAAAACAAGAAAATAACCCTTAATAATGGATATTTTTGAGTTTATTATCTGTTCTCTCAATAAATTAAATGAAATTTCTAAAACTAAAAAATAAAACACACTAACATATTTAGTTTAAAATACAAATAACTACTTATGAAAGGCGTCTTTTTTTTACTAGATATTTTTTCGGTATTCACCGGTAGTAATGACCTTCTCTTGCAAGTCTTGTTTACGCTTT